AGAAATCAGCCACCATAAAGATCTCTGCTAAGGATCCCCGGCTATTTTTGCGCCCAAAATAAAACCACCGCATTGACCAAATAGGCGACAGGGGTTCTGCTTATTATTCCCGCAATACCCGTAACGTCAGAAGCGGTAACATTTATACAAGATTTATAAGTATGCATGTATAAATATAGCAATCGGCAAATTTAAAAAGGTGTGGTTTTTCCAGTTTAAACAAACATAATTAACTTTAAACGTTTCTGATCACATGTATGTATACATGTTTGTGTCCTCATCTTGAACTTTAATCGACTTATATACGTGTATACATGTAGTATATTTAAAAGTACAATAACATTGACGGCAATGACGCGTGCATATATGACTTGGCGGGTTTTTTTCTTTAGTCATTTGCACATATTGTTACAAATATTGCAAAAAAATATCACTTGACAATTCATTGCTAGTCTGCTGGCGTCTACAGACTCTGACAATGCGATCAGTGCAGACAACAAATCAGCTTGTCGTCTGGTTCCCACAAGGGGAAAGAACTCCAGTCTACACTGTTTTCTATTCATATATATTTTGTGAATTTCCCTATAAATGATGAATGGTCTTTTCCTGATTGAAAGACGGATAAGTCCATTTTAGTTTTTAAGCGGTAAGGTTAAAAACGTGAAGTATCTTTATAATATGGCCCATCCTAATTAAAAGGTATGCGGGTAAACTTAAATCGGTTATCAGGACAAGGTTTATACAGGAACGGAAATATTCGGGTATTTTAGTGTGACTATATATAGCTCATATTTATATATCGTGAGTCACGAAGACATCACAAGTTTTAACTTTTTTGCAAACGTAATTTTAATATCAAAAAAGGCATCTTTAATTAATTGTTAGGTTTCCTTAACAGAACAGCTTTTTCTAGAATGTAATTTAAGTAGTTAAACTGAACCAGGTACGTATATTTACATACGTACCTGACTGAACTGACATACTTATATTGCGAATTATTTTAAGATGTTGTAAACAAGTAGATTTTCATATACATCAAATGATCAAAACTCGTTACCTTTCTATCAATATTGAAGAGATAATTTGAAATATATAAAGATATTAGTCAATTCAAACTCCGCAACCCAAATCGGGGGGAAGGGGGGACAGTGTCGGGGAAAGTGGACTTGCGGGTTTTGGTAAATCAGGCAAGTCAGCGCGCAATAATCTAAATGCCCGTGCTGGGAGGGGCTTTGTCTCTTGTATTATACAATGCAGTCTAATAGTCATAATACCACTTGGGTGTTAAAATAACGATACTATTAACTAATCACTTGTGCGTGAAATTTAATATGCATCGGAGCTGCAACAATACATCTTAAAGAAATATCCGTTAAAATTGAGTAATTATATTATTCTATAAGAAAGTATACAATATTGAAAAACAAAATTTGCTAATGTTCAAGGTCATAGAAAAGCCGCTTTAAATAAAAAGAAACTTTACATAGCTAAAGTGACAAGTAAAATAGACCTAATTACTAATTTAATTGAAGGTCATTTCGTTCATGAACACAAGTTTAACTTGGTGCTTTTTTAATAAGAACATGAAAACAATTTTGATTTGGTGCGCCTTTTATTGAAACCGGAGAACGCTGATCACGCATAATAAATCTGATTTACAACAATTAATAGACATGAAATAGGTCAACATTCCTGTTTGCAATGCAATAAAAAACATAAACATAATTGTCTATTAAACTGTTTTACTTAAAAGACAAGTTTGGGAGGATTAAAATACAAAAATGTACTTTCTTTTCATACTAAAACACGAAACTACAGGCTTCAAAAATAGTCAACTGGAAGAAACGAACTGACTTTATTTTCAATGTCTGAGTGTGAGTAAGGGGTAATGACCCACCCCTCCATACCCCACCCTGAGACTTGACAAGTATGAGGGACACATCTGCGATTTGGATATCAACTCTGAGATTGAATATCTTGGATATCAACTCCCAAATTGGATATGAATTTACGTTTATTTAGAGAAAATCACGCAAAAACTTGTGAAAATCGGGAAAAAACGTACTCATGACCCCTCCGAAAACTAGTAAAATGTCACCCACCCCGACTCACTTTCGATTTTTATTACTCCATGTTTTATAATTTTACGATCCCCTCTGGTAAATAAAAATCCTGAATCCGCGCCTGGAAGTAAACACCAGGTATGCATGCAGTGTTACTGGTTGTACAAAATGTGATATGGAAAGTTTGCTGTTTTAAAGCTGCATGCCTCCAGATAAGCCATGGTATTTCAAGAAAATCAAACTTGAGAAATGTACGAAAAGTAAGAAGATTCAATATAAGTAACATTTCCCATATTATTTATGATAAAGTTCGATTTTGCATTATTTTTCCGAATATTTCTCGGGTTATTTTTGCATATTTTGACCCCTTTTATATGGTAATTTACATTGGTTATAAGTGCCGTTTGCAATGTGCAAACTATTTTCTATTTATTCACTTCACAATATTTTACTTTTTAATTTATTTTCTAAACTTTCATGAAAATTAGCAGGAACCTGGAGGCTTGCTTCTATTTAAGGCAAATAACAAGAAAAAAAACAAAAGAGAAAGAAACACAAACAGTTACTTTTATTAAGTTTTTTTTATTTAAATTCGTTCCATAGCATATATATTATACCTGTATTTATAATTATGTACACATATATATAAGGTATACAATTCTATAAAAAGTTCTACATACAAATAAACAAAAATCAGGCGGATCAACACCGATTAATTTGTTTATTATCTATATGGATAAAATAACAACAGTGAAAATCGTGACAATTTTATCGGTCAAAGTTTAATTGACCTATTTAATAACTATAAATAAAAATATATCGATTTTATTCCCCTTCAAAGTTCAATGACAAAGTGTCTATAAAAACTGACTGATGAAATTTTTCAAAATTAACTAAACAGTATTGGGCATTTTCAACTGCCTTTTTATTTTCCCTCCCTTTTTCTATGTAACTAAGTAAACATGTTTTTCCCTTTTTACCAGTGATACTTTTTTCTGATTTAATGGTCCACTGTTTAAAATGATCACAACATATCAAGAAATAAAATACGAAAATAAGTAGTTGAATTTAAGTGCAATGTCATCAATGCAATGAATCGTAAATACCTCTCTAAATTGGGCGTGAAAAAAGTAAATCTCTTTGCTTAAAGGCACAGTAAGAAACAGAAATGTTGTTTTTTTCCTTATGAAGAAAAGACAAAGACCTGTTTTAAGATGGCGTAAATGAATTTAGAAAATTAAGATTGGCCTTTAAGTAATAAAACTTTGAAGAAATATTGATTGCGAGAGTTAACATATAAAGAAATCACTATGCTTGAGCATACAGTGTAGCGCAGAGTGGCACGATAATTGACAGTGTATTTAGGTCATTTTGACCGGGGAGATGGATATAAAGACCCCGTAATTACCAAGACATCCTAACAATTTATACAACTCTAATTTATTTATTTATTTATTTATTTATTTGTCAATTTTGACATATCACCAAAACACAATTATACGACTTTATATAAGGAAATATTGCTGTTTTGTGGTTTTTAAATCTGCCACAAAAGATCCCATTTGTATGAACCGCAGATTATTTTTGACAATACTATATTCAAATGTTTACAATGTGTATATTTGAATAGCTTAAAATAGAAATGATTATACATACTGGTTAATCATTACAATTTTTTATAACATGATATAAAGGTACTCAAAAAATTTAATAAACTGACAAGTTTTTGAAAAATTAAGTTCAACAGTCAGAAATTTTATATTTTAATACCATGGTCTCATTCATATTATATTTGTATTTATCTAAAAATAGAAATGACAGTAGTTGTATTTCTAAAAATAGCAATGACGTTTATTGTAAAATCTTCAGAGTTACAATAATTACGTAGGTCAATTAAAAGTCACGACGTCGCCGCACTTTATGTTATAAACACATTAAACATACGCCTATATCTTACTATGAAAGGAAGGATCGAGAAATATAGTCAATACTTAAAGGGGTATAAAAAAGGCGTATTCTTTGATTACTATCTATACAAACAACAAAAAACAAAGATAAACTGTTTGCATATTTGAATCAAGAAAAGCCTTTGCACAATGTTAGAAACGAAAAAAAGAAGAAGAAGTAGAAGAAAACAACACCTATGCAATTTTCTAAAAATAGCGCTTTTGGCGTTTTTTGGAAACATTGCTTGAAATTAGGGGCATTAAATGTCTTTAAATGTATTTACATACATGTATATGAGGCATAAAGAATAAAGTGATTTTATCATTGAGATATACAAATAAATCATTTGAATGTTTTAACAATATAAATGGTCCAGCCATTTAAGAAACATACATTATATATATACTATATTTACATTTAAACAATCAAATAAAGATATATTTTAAAAAAGGAATATGTAAAGAAAAAACAAAACAAAAAATCAAGAATCTTATATTATAATTTCTAATTTTAGAAAATATTTTCTTCAATTAAAAAAAAAATAACAAAACAAAACAAAAAACACACAAAAAAGAAACACAAAAAACCCTAAGATCTTAATTACTATTTCTAATTTAAAAAAAACAGCATTCTTCAATAGAAAAATGGCATCTTGTATGTTCACTATAAGAAAATGTCATTATGTCAATGTACGTCACTGACAAGGAAATTAAAACAGTTTACACAAAACATGCAAATGAAATAGCTAACAAAGTTATTCGACATGTCTATGGGTATACCATTTCATTTATACAAAAACCTTGTCATGTCTATCGGCATCCTATTGAAAGTGGATACCTCTTGCCACAACAAAAGCATGAAATTCATGTTGAGAAAATATTAACTCATTAAACAATCAAACACCGTATCCACCGTGTCTCACGCGAAATTCAGCGTTTCATATGATCATAAATCCTGATACAATTTCACCATTACCGTAATATTTTCTTAAAGTTAATGCATACTATTATCATTTTATATACTTATTAATTCAGTCGGTTAGCTAACATAAAAAGGCATTTTTATATAACTGGACGCCAACAAATAACAGGAAAATAGCTTGTTATTGAAAAGGTTTTATATCGTGGACAAAGTCCAGCATTGTCATTAGTATCACTGACATTATTGGCTCATATATTTCGAAGAAATCGAACTATTATGATCGCTTCGTCGTCGTCGTCGTGCACAACTTTTTAATGTGAGTGTTGCCCATTTTTCAAACGTTTTGATAGGTATCAACATGTAACTAAGAATGCTTGCCGATCATAACAAGGTGCAGTTGTAAGACGTGTATCATTCTAAAAGCTATATCTTTCGAGTTATGCATTTTTTAAAATAAGATTATTTTGTCAAAATTGCCTGCATAAACTATAAAAAGTATTATCATGAAACTTGGAATACTTGTGTTTCATGACAAGGGACACTTGCCAAATATTCTAACATATTCTAAAAGGTATAATTATGATGTAATGTTAAACTTGATTATTGATAGTTATTGCCCTTGTAAGAGAAACGCTTACACCGTGTGCGGTGCTCCTGTTTTAGTTTACTTATTTTTTCAGTCAGGCAAGACTTCTTATTGCTTACTTTTTAACATAATGTAAGTATATTTGTGATATTCTGAAATAGGCGTAAAATAATATAAAGCTAAAACCAGGGAAATATACCACGAAAATAATCGCCAAACATAATACATGTTCACTGTTTTCACAAAAATAGCTTTTTTTTTCAAATAAAAAATTGCATATTGCCTTGATCTAAAATTTATTATGCCTTAAACTTATTTTAAGGTCATTCGGTCTTTCAAAGTCATTCAAGCTATTAATGTCATTCAAACTAAAAATTTTATTGCTTATACATACGCTTTGATAGTCAGTCTTCTTTTCAAAAGGTTTAGCATATACATGTATCTGACTTCGTTATTCATTCAGAAAAAAATAAATTTAAATTTAATATTTCTGTTAAGAGATATGCCAAATAATCTGACTAATCGAGTTGAAATAATTTTACGAGGTATAAATTTCGTCCTGTTGTGGCGACGACAAAACAAAATCATGAAAATGATTCAGCATTTATGGAGAGACCATAAGAAAAAAATCCTTGATGATACGTTGTAAAAAGATCTAGCGGTTTTTTTGGAAAAGAGAAATGGGAATCATCTCATACAAAAACAAAACACATTCATCAATGTGGGAAATTTAACTTTATAAAAGATAATTATAATCTACCAAGCATTTTCAAAAGCTCTTTAGACTGTACCCTACTGAATAGCTTTTAAAGCGAGGTGTACTTTTGGGGTATTTGCCAATAGATTATGTTTAATATATACTATTCTCAAATTTGATAAAATAGGCGTTATTGATAATAACTGCACAGTCACTTAGTAAATATAGAATAACATATGTTTTGACTTAATACAAAGTTGATACGTTATGTTTAAAACTCTACTCACTATAGGCTGTCACAGTATACATATATATATTGTGTTATTAAAAAAACTGGCATCTTTTAAAGAAATGATCAGCTTTTGACTTGTAATAGGGAATGCAGCTTCCCATACATTTTGTTTGTACATTCTTTTATTAATCTTAGACATATTCAGTAAGAAATTCATAGATTTCAATACACTTTTACGATTTAAATATTTTACACATGGATGAGCATAGTATATCGATTTATCTAAAAAAAGAAAAACAATTTGCAAAAAAGTCTGTGAAAGTAATAATTAAATTTGACTTGTTAACACCATCTCCGGTACTTTACAATCAGAAATTTTAGTGAAGATTACATTTTGCTAATTTTCGGAAATTTCGAAAAAATAAATGTTTGCTTGATATCAACCATATTAATTCAAAGAAACTAAAAGTAGAAATTACTGAATTTTAACCTCGTCCTTTAATCCGTGATGGTTTTTTGTTTGTTGTTTTGTTTCTTTTGTAAAAATATCTTGTAATATAAATATTTTTTTTTCAATATAGTCCATCCAACGTTATAACACTGTGTTTTCCTTTAATATGTTTACAACTTTAATATATTTACAGCATTTTATCTGTCTATGTCAATAAAGAAAAAATTTACACGTTGCCAATTCAAGAAAAGTTTGACGTAGCAAAACAAAATAATGTTATTGTCTACCAGTTTAGCACTTTAAAAAATTGAGAGCTTTACAATTATCTGGTGGAATCTAGAAAATCGTACCAAATGCCCGTCCTAATCATCTGCTTTGAGCCAGTCTTTAACATCACAAACAGTGTCCGAATTGTCCGCTTTGAGCAAGTCTTTAACATCATAAACAATGTCCGAATTGTCCGCTTTGAGCAAGGTCTCCAATGATAAGTTGGTTCTGGAGCAAAGTTTCCACACTTACATAATAATCACGAAGGTCTATACCTACCATGACCCAATATTGCTTCAATTATTTGTGCAATACAGTTAGGATATTCATAAATAAGTGTGGAGCGCATACAAGTAGGTATGTGTTCGTGAGTAGTGCGGTGATTTGGAAATATCACAGGGATAATTCTCCTGTTTTGTGACGAGTTGTTATAATACTCTCCACGCAGCATATCAAAAATGTATCTAGCATTTAACTGACTGGTCCTCGGTGAGGCCTGGTTACTGTTAGTTGGAACAGGTTCTATATCAGCTCTATAGGTTGGAGTAATACATACAATTATGTATTTAGCCTACAACAGAAGATGATATCTAAATTATAATGTATCTTTGCACGATTTTACTTATTCAACAATGCTTATAAGCAAATGACTAAATATTTTTTCATATTACAATTGATTACCGAAGAACAAACCAAGCAAACTACATTTACTTAATCAAAGAATAAATAATCAAAGATTAAGTAAAGTTTTGATCATTGTAAAGCTCGAATTTGTATTCTTGAAAAAATATATAGTCCCCTACCTCTCGCACGTTTCGTTCTATCCAGTCCAGTTTGTTAAGCCTCAATGCATAATATGAACTATCATCCATGTCTATTTTTGTTCTGACACCCACATTACGTAGAGCAATACACATCTCAACCACTTCTTTTATAAAGGAATCTGAATCGGTATTTCCATTCCATGCGTATGTAACAAATACTTTAGGCCCTCGTTGACCGTTCATTGCAGATCTTCCTCTGTGTTGATCACTTTCAGCATTCGAGAAAGGCACCCATGGATTAAAAGAAGTAGCATTAGAATTATCATCCGATGCACTGTCATTTGAATTACTGGATATCGTTCTTATGCGTGCAGCAGGCGCTTGATTCTGAACACCTGTGGAGTTAGAAGAATCACTTGGTACAATGTTCCTTGAGTCATCTAAATTGTTTCTCACACCACCTGCTGATTCTAAGTTGTTTTGATAAACTTCATGGACAGAATCATTGCCACCGACAGAACTTCGTGCACTCCTTGGACCACTTGATCCTTGCGATATTCTGCTATAAATTGTTTCATCTATTGGATTGTCATGATTTTGTTTATGCGTGTTCGTTTTAAAATGTTGTGTGGGGCTTAGTGAGGAGTCGGACCATGATTTCAACATTTCATCAGGTTTGTTTTTCGATGTTCCATGCCACGATTTCCTTAGATCTGCGTCTTGTTGTTCGTTTTTATAAGTAATAGAATTGTTTCTTGTCTTTGATCTATCCTTAGGTATAGCTCCTACATGGTTTCTACAAACTGGGCAACTTTCTGGCATTTCACCGAGTCTATGTTTTCCATTATCAGACCTGGAACATAATTTATTACCGTTTTTTGCAAGATTTTCAAGTGGGGCATTTTGTACCGACTCTCTAACTCTATCCGTACTTTGTGATTCAGTTAAGGCACTTTTCACAAATGTTTCATCAGAACTTTCAACTGATATATCTTCACTTTCATCAGAATCCAAATAAAGCTGTGACAATCCGCTTTCTAAGTGTCCTGTATTGTGTGATGACTGTCGCATTAGGTCATTTCTTAAAACACATTCAATTTTTGGATGACTCTCAAGAGTAAATCGTTGGGTTTGGTCTGGATCTGAACGTAACCTACATTCATCGCAATCACAAGACACCCTCGGTGGACACCTTGTTTCTCCGGGTAAAGTTTCAACTACATACTTTCTTCCATTTGGAGGAAATGAGTCTATACTAGGATCACCAGTTGAAGATCTAGATGTCCGTACCTTTCGTTTTACCCTCTTTGTAGCTTTAGAAGATTCAATCTTTGCTGAATCTCTAGGGACGCTTTGTTCAGACACTTCTGTATTTGATCGTTCATATGAGGATTGGTCTTGAGTTTGGCATCTTGGACAGTTGCATGGTGTGAATTCAGTATTTTGAAAACCACTATTCGGCGTTGATGGATATATTCCGTTGTCAACCCTAGACTGAGAGGCTTGTACATTTTCTAATTGCATAGAAAGAGCTGAAACAAATGAATCAGTTTTTCGAAACAAAATTCAAAACAATTTCCATTCACAAATTTATAGTTAGTGCTTCCTACAAACAGATGGACTAAAAATTTGAATCTAGACAAATTTATAAGCGTTTCTATCTCGGGTCTGCAATTTTAATTTAATATAATTGATTTTATTGCCTATTGCTCCCGAGGGACCACCTCTATTCCAGATCTTTATGAATATATATTAATATTACAAATGATATTCAGTGTGATTTTTAATAATTGGTCTTACATATGATATAGGTTTTAGTTTTTTCCTTACTCTAGTAAATACAAATCTTACTTGTAAGATATGTAGGAATAATGCTTGAAGCAACATGTCCAATTCTTTCCAAGGCACTTTGAACTGCCTGAAGAGTTCCACCTCTTTGCTCGAAGTCTAGCAACAGGGCCAATGTTGGACTTCCAGGCTGGCTCCGTACCTAAAATAATATCCAATTAATCAATGAAAATATTTGCAATGCTGGGTGATCAATTTCTTTTTTTTTTTTTGAACCACGTTTAAGGCCCGTTTATTTACATTTACCTTTTTTCAAAATACATTCATTTTACATTTTTCAATTTCTGATCAATTTCTGTTTCAAGTCCGTAATGTGTTGCATCAGCAAAACTATTTGTATAATGAACATGGTTTTATGTACAGCTTTAAGAAACACACGGATAACAATTCAGAGTGTCGGTAATTTGTCACTATCACTCTAAAGTTAGCAGAGAAAAGGCAAAATACTCATTACAATCACTTTTTACACATGAAAAATGTAACACAGACTGTTTCATAGCGACAATACAAAGTATAAGACAAAAGTTATTTGTCACGCGACCAACTGATTTCTAAGATGGAGATGGTTTGCACTTAAGCATGTGACATTCACAAGTGTGTAATCTAAAAAAATACTTATTTGCTTTTACCCTAATAAGTTCTATGTCTCTTGTTATATAAGCCTGACGGTTATTTATACGAAGTGCAGCTGCAAACATAGGGTAACCAAGACCAAGTGGTGAAACGACATCTAGTCTATCGGCAAGTTCCTGTCGAGTTTCTGGTATAAGGTATTGCATTGGCCAACTATCGTTCATCCAACCCGCCATTGTGAACTAAGACATCTGAAGAAAAAAAGTTTTACCATGTAATAGAAAAAAATCATAATCACTATATGAGACCACTTTTAGATCATCTGACTGAACTATCTATATATCTGCTGTTCAACTTTTTTGTATTTGAGTCCGCCCGCTTATCTCAATAGGGAGAGCATCGGATAATTGATCGAGGGTCATTAGATTAATCTTCGGGCAAGGCGACAATCAATCTAAGACATAGAGCCATTTATTCATTTGTCTCTCACCGCTGATTCAGAAGTTTTGTGGGATAAGTAGCCGGTCAATTACGGAGAAAAGAGTAGTTAGTTATTCTGGAAAACCTGTAAGGTGGATCGGCCTACAAGATATGACCAAACAATATGTTAAAATCGGCATAAAAACTGGAATAACCAAAACAAACTAACTTACTGACTTAGTTTTAAAAATCACTTTTGAAATAAGATCCAATCAATTATGAAGAGTTTTAAGTACAATGCGAGGCAAGTGTCCTTCCAACAAATACAACCATGGAAGGATAAAGTTCATTTTATTAGCTCAAGTCCCATGTATAACCATCTCCTCAGTTCTTTTTTTTCTAAAATCATCAGAACGGGATATTACCTTAGAAATTCCAAAGAAATTTAACTCAATTTTCTAAATCTATAGTCTTTACCATTCATTTATCAAATATGTTATAAGCAGGTTCTGCTCTTTGTTTGGATTTATTTTCAAAAGAAATACTAGATGAATAATTCATATTGCGATATGTAAAGTAGAAACATATAATTATTTTCGGTATAACGGCGCATCAGCACAATTTATATCATATAGCGCTTGAGTAACCTCAGGTGTTACAAGCTTAAAACAAAATAAGGGTCAAAACCATCTCACCTGCTGGAGCTAAGAGATGCATAGACTCCAGTAATTCGAACCCATTTAGTCGCTATTTACAATCGCGCAAGGTTAAACGGTGGCTGCAATTCTGATGCCTTAACCCTTAGAGGTAATCGGAATCGATAGCATTATATGGTTAAATGTTGTGGTTTAAAATATCTATTTAAAGATTACTCTTAATAAATGCAAATATATTTTATTATATTTGAAATAGGTCAAAAAGTGGTCACAAATATGTAAACTATGCGAGATTTCATGTTAACTTTTTCCATTTTATTGGTTAAAGACAGCCCGTCATATCAATGCGTTAGATTTTTTAACTTAAAAAGCATTCCAGATGTGACCTTGGGTTTAGATTTCAAGTGGGCCTGGTAAAAATTGCATACGATACATACATATCGCATTGTTATAAACCTGTTTCGTAGGTTATTCTAATATAGGACATGAAGTTCTATTCTTATACTGAAAAAAGGACAGTTGCACCTAAAGAATAGATATGCACAAAATATAAGTCGAAAAAAAGTAAAGAACTTTGTCCTATTACTCTGTAATCACGTTAGTCAAGTTAAACGTCCTTGAACTTCTCATATTACATTGTCATGCACAAACCATGAATAACCATAAAAATATTTTGAAATATTGCAAGATCAGAAATGCTTGCCAAAAATTCAAACAAAAATATCAGTTCATATATTGCCTAAATTTAATGCATTTACATGTATATACAGTTTTGTCAATCAAATGAAATAAAGTTTTAAATGCACATTATGCCTCAGAAATCAATCATTTTTTTCAATTATTTAGAAAGGTCAGATGTGTTTTTTAATAATATTTTGATAATGAATTAAGAGTATCTAATGTATAAAATAACTGCAGAAAGCACCGTTGAATATGCAATAATGCCTGTAAAGGTACCAAAATGTAAGCAATGTAGTATTTTGATTTCAATACAAAATACTAACTCACTCGGATTATACCTATAAAGTATAAAGTAGCGATAAATGGTTCATATATAAGGCAAATGAGTTATTATTGGGAAACTGTAACTTAACAGGTTTTGAGAAATTAAAATGAGAGCATGTCACTTCAAGGTTAATTTAACATTTTAGTGCGTATCTAAAATGACATTTTTGTTAAATTCAAGATTTGATGACACATGTTTTTTTTCTCTAGAAAGATCGTCTATAACTGAACCACAAACCTTTTCATAAATGTGTACTTTAATTTGTGGTGTTAACATTGTTAAAGTTTTCAACTTTTTAATGAAAATAAAAAAAAAGTTTGCATGCTTAGGTGAAACACAACATAACCTTGACAGATAAGGAGTCGTATGGGGTAATGACAATGAATTTATGCATGGTTCTTGCTCAATGCAATTCTTGTTGATTAAAGGATACAAGGCTATAACTATACATACCAGCCGGTGATAGTAACTTATTTATGCCACCAGTATAGGGCGAGACCAGTCGGTATTTCTATGCAGTCTTGATAGACTACAATTAAGACTGTATTGTATTGTAGTAGTAGTTGGCCACTAAACCACTCGATTTAACAAAGGTTCCAAATTCAAAGTAAAATCGACTCGTAATTCCACAAGATAAACAAAGATTCCAATTTCAAATCAGAATCTACCCTAAACCCCACAAGTTAACAAAGGTTCCAATTTCAAAGCAGAATCTACCCCAAACCCCGCAAGTTAACAAAGGTTCCAATTTCAAAGTAGAATCTACCCCAAACCCCACAAGTTAACAAAGGTTCCAATTTCAAAGTAGAATCGATCAAAAACCCCACACGTTAACAGATGTTCCATTTTCAATGCAGAATTGACCCAAAACCCTACACGTTTAAAAAGGTTTTAATTTCAAAGCAGAATCGACCCAAACCCCGAAAGCTAATAAAGGTTCCAATTGCAATGCAGAATCGACCTAAAACACCACACGTAAACAAAGGTTCTAAATTCAAAACAGAATCAACCCAAATACATTTCAAATTAATACTGTAAAGTAGTGTTTACCAAAAACCTCTTAATCTATTAATGATGGTTAAGCTAAATTTTCCCTTTAATGTTCCCAAACAAAACCTTAGACATAAACAAGTTTTTAGTACATATAAATAAACTAGTTTGCATGCTATTGACTCCTCAACAATGTTATCAAGGAAATTAAATCACCAGTCATCAGGTATCAAATGAACATTTTACAACGCAAAACAGTTTGTGAATCTAAATATCCCTGTGACTTTGTACTCAAGGAGATAAAAGCCTGCTATAAACAATATTTCAAGTAGGAATATCAAGGAGCATCAACAGTTCAACTGTTAGCCGGTGTTAGGGAGCCCCGCTGATGTCAATAAGCCATAAAATAACATAAAAGTTGATAATCTTACACAGATCAACATTGTCACTTAAAAATGTGGTACATGTAAAAAACGATATTAAAGGAATAGAATTAGAGCAAAATTGCAAATTAATTTTTAGTGGGCTTCTTTGTTCGTTAAAGTTAAAAGTGTTTAAACGCTTCATTTGAGACCATTATGCATAATAAAAAACAAATGGAATAATCAAAGGCTCTTAAATTTTGCACACAAGTTATTTGTGTAGATCTCCACCAATGGGTGTGAAAATCTCGAACAAATATTTCCAAGTCCCCTCCTGCAATAAAACCTTAATGGTGTCCGTTTGAACAGCTTTCCTTTTACCACAAGAAAATACTATTAAAGAAGCACACATTGTTATTGTTTGCTTGTATTCTATGGTGGATTTATTGTTTGTTTTTAATATATATTTTCTGAATACACTAAATAAGTTTTAAAAAAAAGATTTGCATATAGACCACAGGATAGAAAAAACATGGTGAAAACACTTGAGTTTAAATGTCCATGTACTATGCATCTATTAATGTACTGTGACTATGCTTATGTCATTTAGATTATGTCTGAGAACTGACGCGTATTGTATGGGTTTTTTTTTCCGCGCGTCGTTTCTCCTTTTACGTTCGGTGCATTATATAACATTATTATAGACCGGTTTTATGACAGATATGTGAATAAATTTGATACATGACACTTGCACATTAAAATGACATGCAATATCATCAATTTTATATAAAATCGCACTTAAATATATTGAGGTATCGCTTTCCTATTACCGTATAAATGCACAACATAAAAAAATTCAAATAAACTGATTCATAAAATTTGGCAAACTAAAACGCTTACAATGTATACAGCTACATATGAGCCGCGTCATGACAAAACCAACATAATGCGTTTGCGACCAGCATGGATCCAGACCAGCCTGCGCATCCGAGCAGTCTGATCAGGATCCATGCTGTTCGCTATCAGTTTCCCTACTTGCTAAAGGGTTTGTAAGCGAACTGCATGGATCCTTAAGATGCGGAGGCGCAGGCTGGTCTGGATCCATGCTGGTCGCACACCCATTATGTTGGTTTTGTCGTGACGCGGCTCATATTTGTTGCCTGTGGTTTACACAATTTTTGTTTGAAACTTTGTTAAAGAATACCTTTAAAATACCTGTATGAAAGAAATATGATTATACTTTTCTTAACAGGCAATGATGCATTCAAAAATCATTACTATAAAACCCCTAATAAAAATTTAGCAAGAGAATATTTTGTTCCGGAGTCAACATTTTATACTGTTTATTTACAAAATTCACGTGTATTAAATTTAAAAAAAGAGACATTCTTGTTACAAAATTATTTTTAGAATCAACCAAAACAACATAATTTTACTCTTTATAAACATTAAAATACTATTTTATTATAAAAATCTGCATACGCTTTGAAGAAAGATTAATGTTTAAAAAAGATAACTGATTTTGCACTTTCAAGCAAGATATATCTGGAAAATGATAACTGATTTTGCACTTTCAAGCAATATATATCTCGAAATATGAGAACTGATTTTGCACTTTCATGTTGGATGAAAATGTAATGTTTGCAAGTATAAAAATTACTTTAGAAACTAACACTGCATTGTTTTCTTAAGAAAATGAACTGTTTCATAAGTGTCTAGGATAATTTCTCATTTTGGATATTTGCATTTTAAAAAAAAAAGTATATGTCAGTTCTGTGACCAGCAGAAAATTTTAGTGAAAAGGGGGGAAACCTCTT